TATACATATACATTTTAAACCTGTTAATTATTGGTGAGAACAGAAAACCAAAACAAGCTGTTACCAGTTGTTGATCCTGAGGCCCCCAGCCCGCGTACTGCAGCTGAGCGTTCCGCACCTCTGGAGGGTTCAGATTCCACGTCTCCCTGGTGTAGAAGAACAGAAAGAAGGGGCAGTGAGGGACACTTGAACACAAATAAAATGACAGTCTGCTTCCATCAGCAGCAGTGTAGAAAAGTGTGAAAGATTGTTTAGGTGTATCCCTAAAATACCAGTACAGCTGTCACTTCTATGTATCAGAGGAAGTGCTGCATAGTGCAGCTGCTGAAACACACTTTATGTCCATCTGGAGCTGAAGATGAGCGAGGTCATCTGCAGTCTCTTTGTTTCCCCCTTTGGCATTTTACCACTGGGTGGCAGCACATAAATATATTTGAATAGAGACTAACTGACACTAACCTGTTAGTAGGGGGAGGATAATCTGCATCAATCAACTGAAACTAGTGACGAAGAATCAACTGCATAGATTAAATATTGTGGAGAAGAAAAAATGTTCATGAAACAAAAATATTTTTTCAAGTGTTAGATATGGCGGCAGAGTTATTACTTGTGGAAGAAATCTGGGGCTAGACGTCAGTGGATGCAAAACAACCCAAAAGTCTCACAAAACCCAAAGCCCTGTGGTGAAAGAAAGTGTAAAAAAATAAAAACACCAATATCTGACTGAGATCTGAAACCATCCAAGCTGGCTGCCAGCTATGATTCTTGACATCTGGGGTGATACAAAGTCCTGCAGGGTGCCTGAGCTTTTATGTCAGACAGTTTCTTTTCTGTTATCCTGAAAGTGAAAATGCAAGAATATTAATAATGAATGCCTGAAATATTAAACATCTGTCATTAACTTTCATTCATTGCTTATTTGTGATCATTCACACTGAGAGGACCAAGCCAACGTTAACCCAAGGTTTACTCCATCTTAATATCTAATTCAGTCTCTTTTATGAGTATTTTTTGTAAGCCTAAGAGCAGTATTTATATATTTTATGAAGTTCAGCAACTCTTTTTTTCACCTTTAATGAAAAAAAATACAATATAAAGACAAGCTCAATTGTAAGTTTTTAGTGCATAGCTATTTTTCTCCTCTTTGCAAGCAATTAAAATTTCTATATTCAAATCATACCTGCTATTTTTGTCTGATTCCAATGATACTGTAAAAAAAAAAAAAGTTTAACTGGCTAAACAGAAAAGCTAAAATACATTGTTGCAAATTCCACGTTTTTCAGTTAAACAAACAAAATTAATTGGACTCTAGGCCAAACCACCCCAGAGGCAGGGTAGTTGTTTTCCAAGCGGTGGGTCAAGGGTTTGATCCCTTGGGTCAGCAGCATGCCAAAGTCTTTTTGTACAAGACATTGTTTTCTCCACTTCCCCTTCTTATCAGTGTATGAGTTAGAACATAAAAGTGTGCACTGTGTGTGTTAATGGGTGAATGGGATGAGAATATAAAGCACTTTGCAGAACATGGAGAGGTTAAAAAGGTGCTATATACATAGATGTGGACCATTTATCACTCAAAGCCAGTATATTCTGAAGAAAGTATGACAACTTGGACCCTGACTTAAGGAAGAAACCTCCAGCAGAACCAGGCTTAGGACAAGCGGCCATCTGCTTTGACCGGCTGGTTGAGAGGACAGGAAGGAGAGACAGACGAACATAAAATGGTAGGGGTTCAAGAATAGAGCCTTGCGGGACCCCACAGGAAAGAGGCACTGAAGCAGATGAACTATTACCAACATTAACACAGAAACTCCTGCCGCTCAGATAAGAACTGAACCAATCTAATACTGCACCAGTAAGAATACTCCAACAGTTATTTCCAAACCACTACAAAGACTGCTAATAAGTCATCCATGAGCTTTTAAAAGGGAGTTTTTCCTTTCCACTGTTGCCACTGTGCTTGCTCAAGATGGGAGACTGTGACGAAGCCAAGATTCAACTTGTCTGCTGGATTCCTTAGATAGAGAACTTTACTAATTGGCTTTTATGTGAATGGTCCTGTAAAGTGCCCTGAGACAACTTTGTTGTGATTTGGCGCTTTATAAATAAACTGAATTGAATTGAACCCCTCCTGTTTAATTGTATCTGCTCCCCTTGGGGGTCTATCCTGAGGAAACATAGTATTTTGTTTCATTGCTGACAATTGTCAGATTTATCTGCTCTTAAACCAAATAGTTCATGCACAATTCACCAACTGTTAAAATGTCTTGATGACATTAAGGCATGGATGGTTTCAAAATTTTGTTTCAGCGATCAGAAAACTGAAGTCATTGTGTTTAGCCCTAGCTCTACTGCGGTCTCTGTTCCTGTTAACCTTGACTCCATTGAGCCATCTCTTAAGCAGTTGAGTTTAAGTTTAATAAACAGGTTTGGTATGGTATGGTATAAAGTTTAATCATTTTAAAAATACAAAACAATTCCATAAACTATACTAAAAAATACAAGAAATTTAAAATGAAAGGTAGCAGAAAGAAGAAAAAAATCTTATTATATCTGCCCCTTTTTCAAACTATTACAAACCGGATTCCAAAAAAGTTGGGACACTAAACAAATTGTGAATAAAAACTGAATGCAATGATGTGGAGATGGCAAATGTCAATATTTTATTCGTAATATAACGTAGATGACAGATCAAAAGTTTAATCTGAGTAAATGTAACATTTTAAAGGAAAAATATGTTGATTCAAAATTTCACAGTGTCAACAAATCCCAAAAAAGTTGGGACAAGTAGCAATAAGTGGCTGGAAAAAGGAAATTGAGCATATAACGAACAGCTGGAAGACCAATTAACACTAATTAGGTCAATTGACGACATGATTGGGTATAAAAAGAGCTTCTCAGAGTGTCAGTGTCTCTCAGAAGCCAAGATGGTAAGTGGATCACCAATTCCACCATTGTTGCACAGAAAGATAGGGCAGCAATACCAGAATGGTGTTACCCAGCGTAAAATAGCAACAACATTTAAGTTATCATCATCAACCGTGCATAACATCATCAAAAGATCCAGAGAATCTGGAACAATCGCTGTGCGTAAGGGTCAAGGCCATAAAACTCTACTGGATGCTCGTGATCTCCGGGCCCTTAAACGTCACTGCACCTCAAACAGGAATGCCACTGTCAAGGAACTAACAGAATGGGCTCAGGAATACTTCCAGAAAGCATTGTCAGTGAACACAGTCCACCGTGCCGTCTGCCGTTGCCAGCTGAAACTCTACAGTGAAAAGAGGAAGCCATTTCTAAGCAAGCTCCACAAGCTCAGACGTTTGCACTGGGCCAGGGGTCATTTAAAATGGAGTGTGGCAAAATGGAAGACTGTTCTGTGGTCAGATGAGTCACGATTTGAAGTTCTTTATG